GGCCGCCCACGTAAGGCGCTCCTTGTAGAGGACCCAGTTCGAGCCGCCGACGTCGAGCTTCGGTACGCGCACGTAGTCGTCGCCAAGTTTCACGGAGGACATGTTGAGGGATTAGATTGGGGGGTAAGGTAAGTCTTCGAGGATTAGTCCGCCTAGAAGGCAGGGCTCATAACCTATAGTAAGCACTCAGTACGCGTTATGCGGGACTTGATATATTACTAATATATGCACCTATAGTAAGCACTACAGTACATTATCAGTGGGAGCCCGGCGGGGTAACTATATGGGCGGCTCACCTCAGTACGCGTTATGCGGGACTGAGGTGAGCGAGTATGGATTCGACAACTTATATAGAAGAGAGAGGATAATGTAACAATCGTATCGTAAGGGGTCCGAAGAAGGCCGCGCCACAGGGCGCATCAATCCCGATGGTGTTCCGTAGTCGCGCGGCGTCGCGCAAGGCTTGCGACGTCATCGCGCTACAATCGCGCCATTCTCCAACACCTCATACTTGTATTTCGGTGGAATAGTACACATGCCGCTGATAGTGTTTCCCGTCAAACATTCACTACTACCGCCCAGTCTACATAACCGCCTCACGTCGCGACTGCAGAGGGTGAACATTTTCATCGGCATTTGCTACTATGACCGAGACAACTCACGTAAAATCGTTGCATCTATCTCCTATCCGGAGACGACAGCCATTCAAGTTCAGCAGGCTCCACGGAGACCTCTGGAAGGCCCAAATCTGTATACATCATACAATTAGATGCTTAATGCGAAAATATTCCGTTGGGAAGTAAAGTGAAACCCACCACGACGGTTCTGGGACGCCGACCAGACTGCCAAGACCGGTCTCATATCTCTACCTGCTAACATCCAATAGTCAACGCCATGCCAATGTTCGAGATCTCACGGCTAGGATGCAACAAGAAAGATGTAGCTCACCTTCGAGAGTTACAGGAGCCGCACGCGCTGTCAACGCCACAAAGGTGACCATGACCAGCGCCATAACGGGGATGCGGATGTGTGGGGACATGTCTAGTGGCGAGATGGAATCTAGGGAGCTAGACGGAAAGGCCTTTTTGAAGGGCGCCAGGTTTTAACGGGCACACGGCGCACCAGCGACATGTCGCAGATGTGTTCGCTAATTTAGCTCCTCGCCTTTCCTCCGTCCATGTACTGATACGAGCTCCGCAGCTCCCGGAAGGCCCGCTGTGACATAACATCTTGGTCGTTCTAGACTAGGTTCAGTGCCAGAGGAAGGCAGACGCTCCGTACCATGGACGAGCGGCGATCCGGTGGACCTCGCCATGACAGATCCGGATGACAGGCCTGAGATCCCATGCTAACGTAAATGACAGCATCGTGCGTCTTCCATGGGTTCGCGAAAGAAAGGCTGTTGGCGGAGATGTTGACATTGCATCCGAACGCACTGCCTTGTCGTGGCATCATCGGCGCGCAACAATGTAGCATGCGGCGCAGTGTAGTCCAGGGAATGATAGCGAAGTCAATGCAAGACAGCAAGGCGGTCGATGCATCCTTCGTGGTTGAGCGCAAGAATCGGTGGCTTTGTATCCCATAGCTGGGGATGTAGGTCAACGTAACCTTGAAACAGTGTGCAATTCTCCCTACGCGGCCGCTTTCTCATGGTCTACTTGGGATTACAGGCATAACTCACTTTGGGAGATGTCCTGCCCGATACCGCTGAAATGCCATCGGCATGACGGTGATAATGGTCGGCGTCCACATGATGCGGTTCGTTACAGGTTCTTGTCTATATGGAATCCTAGTATTCGTCGCGCAGACTAAACAGTTACAATGTCAAGATGCGCGCAGCTGTAGAGCGATTGTTGGATTTCTTCACGTTCTAACGATTAGTAAGCGCAGAGAGACTCACCTCATGTACGTGTTCGAGAAGCAACACTTCCTCGAAGCTCCACTTCAGGTGAACCAAAACTGTTTGTGGGTCGGGACGTAGTCCACAACTATTATGCAGGCTCAGCGAGAGAGCCAAGCATCAGCTCCCCCAGTATCTTCTACTGGGGCTATGGTACCAAGGCGTGAGAACTCCACATGGAGCGAGATCATAGAACTCGCCATCATCCTCTACTGGAGCTGAGAGCACGGGAGAAAAGACTTGCAGCACAATGAACAAGACAGGAAGAAGTGGAAGGTGCATAACACGAGACGGAGGTTGTGTGTTGGATGTCCTACATTGCGTTTCGGGCTTTTGAAAACAAGAAACTCACAGCATGGTACTGCGAGTTGATGTTGCGCCGAGATGCTATGTACTGCATAAGCTCTACTGCCATAACTGTGAGATGATCGATTAGGTGAAACACAACATGAAGCGACTCCTTAGCTGTAGCAGCGCGATCTCGTCAGATCGCAGACACTCCCTGTACGCGGGGTGATCGTAGCATACTTAGAAAGCAGAAAGAATAACATATCGGGATAACGTGCACAAGGAGGATATCACGATTGCTCGAAGCTGGACCCTTTGCTTCCGCTGTGTAGGGACTCCAGGGTGCGCGCATTCCTCATAGTAGGACTGGATCCCGATGACGCTTCATGGCAGTGACCACTAGACTCCCATCGGACCCACGGGCTCAATTGAGGAGTTGTCGCGGGATTGAGACCGGCGTAAAACGTGGCGTCCATAAGCGCATTGCGTTCGGATGCCACGTCACAAGTATACTTACCCAGACACCAATCATCAAGCGCTTAGATTTCCGATTTAGGACGATCCCTGCTTCGTCATCATACTTTTCCCCCGTTGACAACTTCTTGCTCGCCGCCTGGAGGTCAGCGGTTCGCTAACAAATCACGGCACAGTATAATGGGATACTACGCGACCTTGGTACAGCACACTAGTTCTGGTACTCGTCCTTGTCTAGGCCCACAGAACAGGAAGCCCACTTCTCGACCTCGTCTGAGAGATCTTTCGTTGCGCCGCGGGCCAAATCGACGCATCCGAGCGGGATACGCAGAGGTGGTGCGGCCTCCTCACTCAGGCGGTAGATGGCTCCCGCTGCTTTCGCAGCGTCCCCTTTGATTGTCAGCGCTGGATCAAAATCCCCGCTTTGGCTCCGTATCACGGCTTTGCGCCACTTTGCGACAGCTAGGTCAGGGTTATCATACGCTGGGTGAACTGGAAGCTTGTCCATGGCGTTGACTGCATTTGTACCGAACGCGCCGAGCGCGATAATGGTCAACTATCAAGACTATGAGCGAATGGGTTCCGGATCCACTGTTGGCTCTCAGCCGTTGAACTGACCTTGATGTTCCACGCAGGGTCCACCTCCTTAGCCAACGACTGCGCAAGACCACTGATCGCTATGAGGTATGTAAGCCATCAAATAGCGCAGGCATCGAAGAAGATTGAAGTGGCTGACCGTGCTTCGTCGCTGAGTAGAACCCACAACCAGGGAAACCAACAAGCTCCATCCCAGACGTGATTTGAAATACCCGTCCACCCTTCCCGGGCGCATTCTCGTCCCGCAAGAAGCGCACCGCCTCCTGCAAAACATGCACAGATCCCCAGAAGTTGACATCGAACAGCGCCCGGGCGACGTCGTCTGGAGTGCCCTCGACCTCACTTAGGAGGCCTGTACCGGCATTGCTGACGACAACATCAATCCGGCCGAACACTTCCTTCGTCTTCTTGAAAGCGTCGAGGATATCTTGATGGACGGTGACGTCGACCTTGAGGACCAGGAGACGCTCCTTCGGATACTCCGCGATGAGTTCGTCCAATACTTCTGGCTTGCGGAGCGTCGCAACCGCGATATCTCCCTTTGAGAGGACGTGGCGAGTGATATCCAGGCCGAGCCCGGACGAGGAGCCGGTGACTGGGTCCATTCGTCAGTGCTCGGTCTATGTATGGGAGTCAAACGATACTTACTAAACCAAACCCTTGACGCGGACGTATTAGACATTGTTTCGAGGGAAGATCAACGTTCTGTAAGTGCAGTCTTTGTCTACACCGTGTGCTCGTGCTATATATAACGTTTTGAACGCCGCGGCCGTCGGAGGGTACCGAGGGTCTGACCAAGAATGTCGCGTTGCTACTCGGCAGTTCACGAGTAATACGACCCAAAGGTGGGAAGAACTTCCTATCCTGGCCAGCTTGTCTTCTCGACATCCACTGTGTAGGTGCGGTTGACCTGCGTGTAGTAAGTAGGTCGAGAGTGTGGAGACCGCCAATTTCGTACTTGGTGACACCAACAATGTGAAATAATGCGAAAGGTCGGGCGGGTTTATCCCGCCTAATATGACATATAGGACTCAGTGAGCTTGACGTGAAAGAGCTGGTCTACGAGACTAGCCAATGCCCCTGGACGTTCCGTCCAAGATTTTGTAATTGCGCTCAGGAGTGTCTCCATCATCTGTGGAACAGCAGATTTGAATCGCCGCGCGTCGAAGAATCTAAGCTTGTACAGTCATTCACCGGTGCTCGGGACAGTCAAAATGTTGTCGCTCATCCCGAGACATCCCCTACCTTTGCAACCGAGATCGGAGAATATCGTCATGCATGGTACTCAATAAAGCATCATATGCTTAAGTTGCGCGGTAAGCCAACTATGTGTGAGAGGGATCTGGGATCGGGGACGATCATCACAAATTCTTCTTATCGCGTGTCCGAGTCCCTCGGCTATGACGGGCAAGACGGGTGTTTCGGGAACAAAGAAACAGTGTGGAACCGGAGGTGAGGGAGTGCTGTTGAAGGAACCACTGTTCCAGCCTATGTAGCCGGGCCCTGTGCAACGACTCGTCTACAGCGCCTTGACCCTCAGTAACATCTCGGGCTTCGTGCTATCTTCGCCCATGGTGGGGTAATTGACCGCCGAGGAGTTCCAGGTGATCTCTTTGTCTGTCAACTCGAAAGAGAATGACGACAGCAGAACGGCAAGAACGACCTCTGGAGGAAAATCAGACATGACGTAATCCGAATTAGCTATCATGGACAGGAACGTACTCATTTCGAGCTGGGAGAATTTGAAGCCGCTGGAGAGGGGTACAGTAACGATGAGAGTCGGTTGTGTAAGCTGAGGAAGGGAAGCAGGGGCTTACATGCATCCGCGTATCCCTGCTGCGAACGTCATGCTTATACGAGTATGAGCGTCGTTCGAGATCTGACAGTCCCATTCAATACTTACAGGTTTGAGTACACTCCAGGAATCCGCGCCTCCTCCAGGGCAGCAGGAGGGGGAGACAGCCATCGCTCAGGCTTCCACTCATACGCATCTTCGCCCCAGAGGGTCGCGTCGACATTGCTAGCCTGGTAGTGCACGAGCACGAGGGTACCCCTTGTAACGATCACCTCGTTGATCATATTGCCATCTCGTCCACGGATGGGCGTATAGAGCGGGATTACGGAATCCTTCGCTGCCCTTATCTCATGGCGTCAACAACGGTGCAGTAGTGGACGGTTATCAAGCACCCACATGCGACCAGACAATGTGACGGGGGCATAGAGTCTAAGCGTCTCCCTGCAGACAGCGTCGAGATATGGGAGCTTGATGAGATCGTCGTAGGGAGTGTCGGTTTCGCCTCCAGTGCCGCCACGGGCCTCGACGATTTCTGTGCGAAGCTTATCTTGCACCGTGGGATTCTGTGCGAGTAGATTGAGGATACGAGACAGTGCGTTGGAAGTGGTATCCATGCCTGCAAGAATGAATGTCCTGGGAGCCGACTGGGTCAGGTGTTCAGAGCCGGATGACCATGAAAGTCGACATACGACATCTGTGCAATGAGCTCTTCATCCGACAGCTTCTCGGCTTCTGAAGCCGTCATATTCGCCTTGACTATAATCGATTTCAGTGCCAGTTAGATCCCTTAACAGCGGACCCAGTACTTACGGCAGATGCTCATGAGGTCCTTACCCTCCCCTACTTGATGTAACAAAGCTTCGTCACCCTTCCGAAGAGCGGCCTTCTTCTCCTCGATGATCTCCTGTGACCGCCTCCGCATGGTGTCCGATATCTGCATGATATGGCGCACATCCTTATGAGGGTATCTTCTGAGAAGTCCGCGGATCTGCGACGCAGAGAGGATGTATGATGCCTTCTCAATAATAAGGCCAAAGTACTGGAAACGGCTGAGTACCGGGCTATAGTTCAGTAGAAAACGAATGTGATCAGACAAATTGCACGGCACATCAAGCAGAAAGCGGCTTACAAGAACAACTTCACTGACTCGCCATAGGGGTCCGTTGCGTCCCCTACGAAACTGTCGAAGGAGTACCCCAAACCGGCTTGACCGAGCATCTCGAGCGTCGTCCGCGCCATCCATCCATTCACATCGAGCACCTCTCCCGTTCCTCCCGCAGGCACGCGAGCCCTGATAGCGTTCCGCACCTGTAGCATCTTTGAGTCGCATTTAGGAAAGGTGTTACATGCAACAGCACCTTGTGGGCGACATTGTAGAAAATGTGGGTCATATTCCGAAGATGCGCAGCAGAGAAGACGGGGTTCAACTGTTTGCGCTGCCTCTTGTGCTGAGCCCCTATTGTGGAGAGCACGCCGGGGCCAAGTAGCACAGTGAAATCACTAGTTTTTCAGCTCTATTAGTCCAATTCTGGAATCAGACGTGGAAAAAGTGGACGTGCTTCAGAGGCGCGAGACCTTTAACATAGATTTCCTGATCCTTGATCATGACAGTGTGGAGAGCCTTCGGATCGTGTATCACAAGAAAGCGTCTCTGGTGGTCCATCGTCAGCGCTGTACAGCGGTCAGAACTATTCACTACAATGACAACTTACGCCCAAGATTCCTTTCATAGAGGTAACAGGACCGTATGTCTTCGCAAGGTTTTCCCAGAACTTCCATGCTTGTCGCCTCCCAGTTTCCGTGGAAAATTGTGCTAGAGATTGTCCGAATTAGTAGGGTCTCTCACTACAGCGATTCGGCGACCAACCAGAGATGGACTTGTAGGTGGGGCCCGCAATGTTATCCAGAGGAGACCGCATGAAGTAGGTCCCAAAGAGCCACCATAGCGCGTACAGAAGGACAGCGGCACCAGCCGCCAAGATAGTAAGAACGGTGCTCATGTCAGTATGCAGGAGACCAGAGCGAGGGAAGTATATCCCAGCGCGATAGTCTTATGAACGACTCGCCGGTAGCTGTGCTTCAAGGAAGTCGGGATTCCCACTCGACGTGTTTATGTAAGTTCTGCCAGTGTCAGGTTCCATCGGCTTCATTGCGCAGCGACTCACGGAGACGCCTACGAGGGCTAGTGGAAGCTGCGGCCCTCCGCGCCTTCTGTGGGGGCGCAGTAAGTCCGTATGCATTCGTGTTCCTGTTCGTACTCAAGTCAATCCATACGACGAACTGCGAAGCTCGAGGGTACGCCTGCCGGTCACACGACGGGGAATCCTTCCCAGATCGACGTGGACGGGCTCGGGCGAATCGGCGAGGCAGTGATATACGCATATCTGCGGCTGACGGCTTGCTGCGGTGGTACTGCATTGCAGCATTCGATTGAACAAATATGTACATATTATCAAGCGTTCGATAGCGATCAATATCGGACCACGGGTATGTGCTACTTGTGCTGATGACTCCGTCAGCAATGCCGTTTCCGTAAGGCGGTATATATATGTAGTCAGCGGGTATTACTGGAAGGACTGCGACGACGTGCCTTACAGAATGCGAGGTAGAAGTGAACACTTCAAGTCGAGGCGATCTACAAGGGCCGATGGATCCCGAACATTGTTCCAGTCGACGACCCGTAACGTCGAGCGGCGAAAGGCAAACAGCTTGTAGTCATTGAGAGAATCTTCTACAGATCGAGACTATACTCCTACAGACGGCATAACAGGACTCTTGATACATAACACGAGATCCACGAGGGAGATCGACCGAAGTGGTGCTGCGCGCGCCGGGACTCGTACCGGAACACAAACACTAAGCTACAACGCGCGCGTCCAGAGCAGCCCCCAATTCCCTGACGAGTGATATGTACACGATAAGGAATTGGAAGGACGTAGAAGACATAATTATTCGGGGGGGGATGTAACGACGAGGCGAGGATAGATCCGGAACGAGGCGACGGAACGTGCGGGGAAGCGGAGGGACGTGCAGGAGTCGTAAATAATGCTGGACAACAACAGAACAGAAACAAGGAGACGGTGCGAGGGGAGACAAAAAACTGACATCAAGAAGATCATCGACAGGCGCGTGGGCGTGTGGGCGCATAGTGTACCAATCCCCTTTCTTCCTCTTGGTATTTAGGTTGGTGTAAGTCCAGTTCCAGATCGAAGCCGAAGACGAAACAGGACGACAGACCGCCACATCTAGCCGCTGATGATCGGCGCGGCCATCTGGTAGGCGAACGAGTTGTCGAACCCGTTCGTCATCGGATGGTCCTGGGTCGACTGCGGGCTCTCCGGCCAAGAGAACCTATCGACCAAGACAGCGCGTTCAGCGATGGCTACAACAAAACAGCGCGGCAGGAGCGGACGCACCCAGGCATCATCATGTCCTTCCAATAGTTCGGGTTCTGCAGGGCCATCAGCGCGCCCCAGCTCTCATCTTGCTGAGTCCCGAACTGGAACATCCCGTCCTGGCCGTTCATACTTCCGTTGACGGCCGCATACGACGGTTCCACCTCGAACAGTGGCGACGCGGGCTCGCCCACCGTGAATGACGAGTCGCTGAACGACGCCGGGCTGCTGCCCGCGATACTCTCATACGACGCCCCCGCCGCACCAGAGCCCCCGAGGGTGGTGTACTGGGATGCCTGCGCTTGCGACAGAGCACCCGTGCCTTGGCTTGCGTTCGCGCCGTGCCCGCGGTTGGTCGCCTGTGGTTGAGACTGTGAAGGAGGCTGGTGCTGATCGGACGGACGAGAACTCACCGCCAGGTCGCGGCGGTGCTTCCTGAGGAGGCTGTGGAGGAAGCGCGAGTGGAGCGCCGGTGTGTGCCTCTCATCGATGGCCACCTCTGGCGAGCCGAGCTTGTCGATGAGGCGCGATATGAGGTCGAAGATCTCTTGCTGGCGCTCGCGAGAGACAAAACCGGCGAATTCGGGTCGCAAGAGCTGGTAAATTCAACCATGGTCAGCCATAACATGCCGTGAGAAAGGGTGGACGAGATAGCAAAAGTACGTACCTTGAGCAAGAACGCAGACGCGAAAGAAGCGAAGACGAAATGACCGTCTGGCGAGGTGCGCATGTAGCCCGTCGGGATGAGCGAGTCAACGAAGGTGATTATGACAGTTGTCGCGGACTCGTAACACTGCAATTGGTCAAAACAGTTAGAGCATTCACCTGATCATCAGCTTGGACACCTACCTTTTCGAGGAACAAATGGTCCTCGGCTTGGAATCCGCGCTTGAACGCCTGCTGGAAGCCGAAGGAATACATGACGAGTCTTGAGTAGCCCGTGAGGCTAGACGCGACCAACTTGTCAGTATTGCGTGAAAGATAACTTCGCGGGTGGACTTACAAGGGGAGGAGTGCCGCACGGAACTTGAGTGCAGGATCTGGATTCAAATCAGCTCGGACCCCTTTCAGACGGTACTCTTCGCAGACGACTAACCTGTCATATCGGTATCGAGCCGGAAACGTTCATTCCACTCGTTGAAGTAGGCAGTAAGCTGCTCGTCGTGCTCTAGAATCACGGAACGGAAATCGAGACGCTGCAACAAGAACTTAATATCATCACAATCACATACTTCACGGGAACCATACCTGATTCAAGCCGGTAGGCGACTCCGCATCTGAGTATATCGCCTCGTGGAACCGAGAAACGACGCGGAGCATCTGGGCGTAGGCGGACGTGCCGATGTCCAAGGCCGAGTTCATCCTCGACGACTTGTACCAGTCATTGGAGTGACGGATTGTGCTATAGGCGACACGGTGAGCGATTCTAACTTCGGTCGACAAAGCGGTCGACATACTAGTCCTCTTTGATCGTCGATGGCTTCCCGAACTGCGCGGCAGTCGACCTGTCCAGGTTGAAACACAACAGCCACACCCTCGTCTGGTTGACCATCTCCCTCTCCTGCTTCTCCGTCTTCGGCCTCACGTTGGACACGACGTGCAAGTTGAGATCCGTCGCGATCCGGATCGCCAGGCCCGTGTACAGCCAGTTGCGGTCCTCCTCCCAGCGGCGCGCGGGCACCCCGTAGAGGCTCATGAGGATGTACGCCTGGGAGAGCTCGACGGACTTCCAGCCGTTGAGGAGCGCGGACGCGGCGGCGTGCTTGGCGAAGTGCATCGCGATCGGGTAGATCTCGGACTTCTCCGTGTAGTACCGCGACGAGATCGCGCACACTACGACGTCATGCTGTTCAGCGACACAGCGATCGACGAAGCCACAGGGGCATGCACTCACCGACCGTGAACAGGAAGGGGCAGCGCGCGAATGTCGATGCGGGCGTGTGCAGGACGGGGTCGAGGACGTCGCAGTGTGGGTTGACGCGCTCGAAGTAGCTGAAAAGACCGGTCAGTTGTACATAATGGCATCGGAACTGACTTTTTGCTCACATTTTGAAGAGTTTCTCCACGTCGTCTGGGGTAACGAGTCCATGGACCAAGATCTCCGGCGGACTCACGCTCTCGATCATAGTCGCGCGAAGTCCGAGGTTGAACGCAGGCCCCGGGTCGAAGAACGTCTCGCACGCAACGCCCTACCCCGACAATCAATTCCGCATCAGCAGCTGTCCCATCCTCGTCCCCAGGACAAACCGCAAGAAAGAGACTCACGACGTCGTCATCGGAGGACTCCCCGTCCTTCGGCTTCGCCGGCGTCTTCTTTTTCCTCTTGCTCTTGTTGTCGAGCGCGAGGCCCGCAATCAGCCCAATCGGGACCGCCTCGTTCGGCAGCGCCGTCGGCCTGTCCTCCGCGTCTTTCAGCGGCTCATCGTCCTCGGCCTGGCCCACGCTCCCCCGCTCCGTCGCCTCGCCCGCGGCCCCGTCCCCGCCGTCGTCGTCCGAGTCGCTGCCGCTGTGGCCCTCTGCGCGCGAGTCCATCTTGAACGCGTTCAGGCCGGCGGAGGTTCCCGCCGCCTGCACACTCGCCTGCAGGCGGTCGAGCCACGCGAGCACGTTCTGGTTGTTCTGGTCCGTCGGCGACGTCGCCATCCGGTAGGACGCGATCGACATCGGTGTTGCAAGATACGGGTTGTGGATCTACCGAAGTGAAGTGCGTTAGCTCAAAGATGTCCCGGAATGGGTAGACACCACGGCGGCGTCGCCACACCGAGTCCGGTGCCGGCGCCGCAGAACGGGTAGGAAGCGAGGGGCAGGAGACGGAGGGGAAGTGAACAGCAAGCGAGCACGAACATACCTGTTTGAGCAGGGATTCGATGATCGCATTCTTCTGGCGGATCTGGGCTAGCAGGTATTCACGTTTGCTGTAGTGGGGGATAACCATATCCCAGTCAGCGAGCGATTCATCACAACATTCATCGGAAGTAGTCGCAAAGGACGACAACGACGACCACGACTCGTCTGAGCTGGCGTCCGGCGACATCGCGTTACAAACGGCAAGATGCGTCGAGAGCGGGCGGGTTGGGCAGTTGAACCTACGCGGGAAGCAGATGGCTCCGCGCCACCCATCGCCTGGAGTATATGTATGACGGTTTCAAATCGAGGCGGCAAGGGAATCCAGGCCCGCGAGGGAATACGAAACCCGCGAGCGGAGAAACCGAATACAGGGAAGCTGACGCAAGCGAGGACATCGAGCAAACACTCACTTTGGCGCATTCCGGGGCTTTCTGCCCTCGACGATGCACTGATGCCCGCCTGACTTGCAGCGCTTGCACGTGTTCTCGTCCTGGGGGAACTCGCACCTCATCTGTCGCACCGCCATGCACGCTCGTCAGCCTCCGGATCGACACCAGCCTCGGACGGTGCCACGCGTGGCCCTTAGCGCGGCACGCGCGGCCCTTGTTTCACTCACCTTCAGCTTCTTGCAGTGCTTGCACGCCCCGGGACTACCATAGTGCCCGCGAATATGCCAACGCCGAGCATGCGCGAGCGAGCAATGGGGCGGACCGAGTGCGCATAGGACGCCGATGCGGCACGGAGGACCGGAAGAGACGCCAAACGTTCATGTCGTCCACCGAGGCGCACGTCACGGAGCAAAGAAACACCGGAGGGGCCGTGTGCAATAAGTCCCAAAGCCACAGATGGCGGCGCGAGGAATGGAAGCGATCGCGAGGATAGAACACACGAGGGAGCAAGGAGCCGATAGGAGCAGGGATCGTGGCGGAAACAGATGTGATGGTCGTTCCGTCAGTAAACGCGCCGCCTGACAGAGCACAGTCCGGGAAACACTCACAGCCGGGAGGGCAGCGAGCCCTGGCCCCCGGGCGGGGGCACGCTGGCCGTCGCGAACCCCGTTCCGAGAGGCATGTCGTCGTCGGAGCCCGAGTCGCTCTCGCCGCCGTCTTGCGAGTCGTCGACCCGAGCGCGCTTGCTTGTCTTACCGCCGCGCCCGCGGCCTGCCCCGCCCCGCGCTCCGCTGCCGGAGGGGCGGCGGGAGGACGATCCGGGATGTTGCACGTTCGCAGATGAAGGGCCGTGCTGAGATGCCAAGGGGGGATAAGCATGAGTCTGCCCGTGCCCGTCGTCGGTACCACCCACCGAAGGGGTCGACACAGAGGAAGGCAGGTTCGTGAACTCCGAGCTTGGCGTGTACGTCGTTGAGGACGCGTACTGATCAGGCTGATACCCAACGAAGTTGTACGACGAGTGCTGCTGTTGAGGCGGAGGGGCCTGTGGGGCGTCTCCCGCAGACCCCGAATAGAAGTACCCGTCGTTGCTCGCTGGCGACTGGATGAACGACGATTGCCCGTGCGGTGGGGACTGCTGCTGGGACTGCGAGAACGGCTGCCCGGGCATCCTCAGCTGGGGTGCGGGGGGATAAGTTACTGCAGCGCCACCGCCTCCACGGCGGGAGATACGGGTTCCTGGGAGGCCGCGCTGTGGGCGATCGGCGGCAGCATGCTGCTGTTGTTGTTGCTGCTGCTGCCGAACGAGGTGGGAGTCGTAGGAGGAGCCCGACTCAGGCCCATACTGCTCCTGCACGAAGTTGTACTGGTTCTGCGTGGGCGCGGGGGCGGGGGCGGGGACATGATGGAGCTGGGACTGGGGCTGGAACGGGACGTTACCGGCTGTCTGGCCCTGGCCGTATCCGAACTGCGTGCCGCTCCCTGTGCCGTAGTTGGCCATGATCCACTGCTGATAGTCAGGGCCCTCTGGGACGATCGCCTGGTTGGGGTCGTAGAACGAGGGCGGGGGGCCGATCATGGAGGGCGACGTTCGGGAGGCTGGCAAAGTACAGGGTCGGAATATTAGGCCAGGGCTCGTCAGAGGCTGACAGAGAAGAGATCTCTCGCACCTGAGGTGGGAAGATTGGCAAGCTGCGGCTTCAACGGCGGGCCTGGGGCTTGTAAAGGACGACAATGATGGATCAGGACATGGGGAGCAGGCGCCTGCTATATGGAGTGCATACCTCCGGTGTCCCTCTGGCTGGTTGCGTTGCCGGGCGACCGAGACATGAAGCTGTCCCCTCCACACGCCGTCTAATATGCTGCCAGATAATCGATGAGGGCCGGGTGGCAGTGTGTCTGTTCGAGAAGTAACTCTGCCTCCTCCACCCAAGTCCAACGCAAGCGAATCAACCGAGGCTGTCCGACACAGCCCCTCCAGTAGTCTATGTCCGCTCCTGGCACGAGACAAACCACGCTACAGTTGCAGCTGAGGGAGACGTGCGGGGGAAGATGGATGAGGCTGTGGATGCCGGGCCAATACGCGCGGGCGTGTGTCAGACCGATTTATATTTGTTCGAGTCGGGTGCGCGCTTGGCCCTCAAATGCTGAGATCCCGACCTTGAACCCTGAGCTTAGCGATAGATACCGGTTCGAGGATACACGGTAGACTGGGAGTAGGATGTGGTCGCTGTCCGAGGTGTGCTTCGCGGGATCGAGAGCACCGTTCGTGCTTTGCCGGCGCCAGCAGAGGCGAACGCACCCATATGCATCTCGATATAGCGCACCGATCACATTTGCCACCTTCGATGTAGCTGTCCAGCTACCCTTCGCGAAATATACTGCATCGCCCCTACTCTGTCTGGTCTCGCAACGTTTCCCGGCACCTCAGTACTGCACAGCCTACAGCATTCTACCATATCTACACTGTCTTTTCCCTGCACGAATATTGCGGAGGAGCACGAGCAATCATCGAGAATTCATATGCGCGTGAAGCGATCAGATCCGCTGCGTCGGCTCGGGAATCGGGAACGATCGGTCTCATTCCTCCTCCCGATTGCCTCGGAGAGACATATAGGCACTCCATCCAGAAGCAGCTTTGTATTCATGTATCCTCTTGTTGAAGCTGGCGAGCAGGTCAGAGAGGTTCTGTACCAGGCGTCTGAGCAACCTGGATAGTGTCATTTTCCTCAAGAAGACGCTGCCTCCTTGCGAAGGAAGATCTAGAATGCGTCGTCTGCGAGATCTTGCCCCTTGATCAGGCCGCCGGTCCCACGCAGTGCTGCTCGTCCTCGCATTATTATACTGTAGAGTCCTTTTGCAACCGGTTCAAAATAGGTTTGGATCTGCTCGACCTCTGAATTCTTGGTGCAGTGGATATGTTCGCACACGCTGTTGCTGTTGTACGAAGGTCATTAACTATCGAAGGATTGTGCGGGGGACCCACCTCGGCTGGAGTTGGACTGGGAGCGCCGACAAATTGGACTACCCCACCCGTTTCAAATCGCCTGCGAAAGGACTCTACTCCCCCTAAGTAAACCCCTGAATGATATGTTTGGATCAATAAAGAGACTATGTGTACCACTCTGGTTCCTTGGTTCCTTGACAGAATCGGTGTCTTGAGGGCCTGAAGCACCCCAATGAAACATACCGGGAGCTTCATTCTCAAGTTGAAGCAGGATCGTGCAAGGCCATATGCTTCGCTGGCTTAGCGCTGGCCAATCCGCAAGGCCGCTGCTTCGAAGTCCTTGCGCATGATACATAGATTGCTATGCAGGTGGCCTGATTATGGGTCCACAATATGTTGTCCTTGCGCTGTACTAGACCTGACCCGTTCCCACGTCACTCTCGAACGTAAGGCCATGGAGCCGGGACGAGAGTCGTTGGACCCTGCGCTTGACGGCGAGACAAAGTCGGAGCGCTCGACACCCATGGCCGCCCTATGATCAAAGTTAGCACCATCTCTGAAACGGAAGGCACCACATCCATTTCATATTATTGTCGATTAGACTGCACGGATGCCTCCGGCCTGACCCTGTTGAGATCGCAAGCCAACGAGGCCATCTTCTTTCCCGGTGACAATCTATCGCCGGACATCGACAGCAAAAGAAGTCGCAGGAAACGTAAGAGACGGAGATTGAGCATTCGCTAGTGGCAAGATCTGCGTTCAGCGAGAGACAACGTGGCGACACGGCAACCAACCAGTGATCTGCACGTCCGTCCGTTAAGCTCGTCGTTTCGCGGAGGCGATCGCGGTGGTCGAGGAGTGATGTTAGAGTTAAAGGGTGGACGTTGGGTGCGTGCATGGCACAGACATTCCGCGGGAACGTCTGCAATGCAGCGGGACACCTCCACAACAGGTTCCCAGGGGAGTGTCGCGGTAGTTGTCTCCATCCGACCACCGCGCATGGTGCAAATGACAGAGGACAGTATATGTCAATGCCTCCGTGACGGCGTCCCGCTGGCCGCGTAGCGCGGGACACTCGTTCAGCTGCGATATGGGCCCTTGGTTGATTGAGGGTCCGGATATGTGCCTAAGTGATGCACCCTAGAGCTTCCTGAAGCTAGTGGCGGACCGAGAGTCATCTCAAGAACCCGGGCAAGGGCAGCGCCACTTACTGATGGGCTCGTCGTCGCGTCAGAGGACTCTGCAGGCGATGTTGCGTGGTTCATCGGCTTCACTTCATGAGAGTATGTCAGCGGCAGGATCGAGTGGGTGCTCGATAGATTAGCAAAGCAAAGTAATTGGTGGTGCGAACAGTGGCTCGGGCACGTCAATACGGACATCGGAGAAAATTCACCGGACGCCACAAGTGGGCTGCTGCAGGGTATTGCAGCGTGATAATTGACGATAGCACCACCCCGTAGAGACAAATTGGGTGTACGAACACGACGTACTCTCCCCGTAGGAAGTATGACCGGAGGGGTCATATATGAATAGTGTTGGAGATGGCCTGACCCAGGAGCATATATTAGTCCTTCATTATGTCGCGAACAAGAAAAGCTGAACCTCATCATTGAAGGAGCTTGCGACGCACAGTGGAGCCAACCGAAGGCCGGGATGCGAAGTGACAACCCGACATACTCTCTAGACCCACAAGACAATCGTACTGCTCTCTTCGTGTCGAACAACCTGCGTGAACCCAGGCGTATGCCATTCTGCCAGCGAAGGCATTCGCCACTACCTGGTTTTCCTAATAGATGTGATGGCGTACTGGAAGCGTCGGAGCTGCATATATACGGGTAATCGGGCGAGGGCGTTGCTGACATCTGTCCTTGCGGCGCTATTTCGCGGTCACTCTCCACGACGGGATGTTGTAGGCGGAAAGGTGCCTTGTTCAGGCTTGCCGACATAGCGCCGGCACCGATTTGATGAATGACGGGTGCATGAATGCGCCTTTCGGCTTCAAAAATGCCCTAGACGTGATGCAATGTAATTGAGTTCTCATGAATGCTGGCTCAACAATCGCTGGCCTCGTATCGTTGAAACAGTCGAAGTCTACGAACCGGCTCACCTTCGATCTGTAGGCATTCCAGCGCTTCGTTGGTGTCAAGAGCGGCGTCCGGGGTTGCCCCCGTCATGACCTCATCCTGCCAAGTTCTTGCAATATGCAACCCGGCGCTGCGAGGGCCTGAACGGGAGCATCGCGGAGCGGCGAGAGAGTGGAGGTCCGGGATTGCAAGCTTTGATTTGATCGGAAGCGATTGGTCCGTCATGAATGATCGGGAAACTCCGAGTCCGCCACAACGCTCCTGGAGCGCCGATGATGCTGCCCGTATACACTCAGTGCAGATAGTCCGCGACCTCTGCGATTTCTTCTGCCATCTATCTATCCTCCCTCGGAATCTCACAATATGAGTGACATCCTGCAACAGTACCTTGAGGGCAAGATTGTGAGTGCCATGCCTGTGGATTGGGCATGGGTTCTGACGTCTCCCGCCTTCCGGGTCAGGATTTTGAGGGGCAGAAGCTCGTAGAGCAGATTTCCAGGAATATCCTCATCGTTGCTACAGTCAGTGTACCCAACATCCCATGTGTATACTGTGTCTGACAACAGTTCATCAGGCAGTGTCATTCGTCGCTGGTTTCGCGACACAGTCACTACAAGTCTTGTTCGGCGTATTCGCAGCGTTTGTCGTGACATTGAGCTTGGTGAGTAACAAAAACCCGCACACTCGGAGACTCTGCGTTCGCGAATCATCTTGAGAGTACATGTCCATTGTGTGCGACGGCAGCTAATGGGACAGCTCAAGTTAGTACAGCCTCGTTCGAAGGACTGTCTCGATGACAAAGACAACTCCTCCGAATGCGGCCACGAAAGATGGGCTTTGCATCGTGGATGCCATCGCTCGCAATGGTGCCTTTATCCTGAGCGAGACCGCCCGAAGGTCTACCAGATGTTGCGCATCCTGAGTTTTGGCTTCTCGTTCGATTGTTGTCAGCGTCGCGCCGGTCTGGATCACGACTTATTCTTGCTGCCCAAACCAGATTCTCGCTGGAATATTGGTCCGTAGTATGTCTAGCTATGCGTAGATTGCCTGAATTATTCTATCCTGAGCACCGCCAGATCAAGCACACAGTCCAGTCCGGATTTACGCGCATGCCCTTGACTGTAAGATATGCGTATGCCTTAAAGTCCAGGGTAAACGGACTTGACCTACCAGGAAGGAGGCTTCTTCATCATCTTCTCGCGACGACTCTTCGTACTGCCGTGCTCAGAGTTGTTCAATGGCCTATTGATATCAAGGCACTATTGTGCTCTGACTGGAATATGATTGCCTTCCGATGACCAGATTGCCGGTGTGAGCTAGGGGGTAGCCCATCCTTCTTCGAGCTCCAGCTTGCAGAACCGAGAGGCCGAGGCTTGATAGCCAGCCTCAACCACCTGTGTCATCTCTATACATAGGAAGTCTTCCGACGAGGAACAATGGTTTCCTTCATCTTTCCCTCGACTCTCTACCTCATGTATCGCATGATTGACCTTACCTTCACAGGCCGTCATCCCGCCATGGCCAGCGTACAGACGTCATCCAGTCAAATGGCTCTCAATCAAGGAGACGAAAGCATGAATGATGTGTCTCGTAGTCTTCGCTGCGGCCGTTCGGTACACCGACGCTCGTGAGCAGTCATGCTTTTTAGCTCAGTCGCTGCTACTGAGGCGTGATGCTATCCTGTTAGCACTTCTTTTGCTGATCATTGACGATGCAGCCTTCCATCGTGGGTGACGTCGTGCGAGATAGATGGACTATGGAATGGTAGCGGCTGAGTAACCCCGCCCTCGCCTGGGTATTTACGGAGTTTTTCTTACTGCCGCCACTGGCGCCGGCGAAATGACAGTTCACATTCCCCTTATTCCCGCCCACAGTACCGTCTGTAGACCGTTGGATAGTATATACTCTGCCCTTGATAGCCAGCTTGGTAGTGACTACTGTATGCACGACTGAAAATACGTATCAGCGTTCTATCGAGCTCACTCAGCTCAGTGCCGCCTGTGTGAGGCGCTCGACGGGGCCGTGCGGCGAATTAACGCCTCCGCCATCAACCTCCATTGCCATCGCCCACAAAGTACCTCACGTCGCCCAGCTCGTCTTCGACAACCGCGCTGCGGGTGGATGGACGTATATCCTGCTGGTCTAGGCTCCTCCAATACCTCAGAAGGTCTTCCGACTCCTACGCACGGTGGTCTAGTCGGCGGCCCTGAATACGACGTGCCCATCACCCAGAAGCCGATTACCCAGGGACCTACATCTACACCCCACACCCCTGACACGCGACATACGCCCACGATGGAGCGTGCAGAGAGGACAGAGAGATATAGCCAAGCAAGGCCTCAGTCGACGTCGCAAAGGCCCCGCCCCGTGTCAATGCCACCTCAGGCGTACGCCCCACCCACGGCCACGGCCACTAACGGAGAACGCGATCAGCGGTACGAGGACGGCCGCCATGGCCGTACAGAAGTCGGCTCGTCGAGTAAATCGCGCAGCGGGACACGGGTGCTCGGAGACTACACCCTGAGCAAGACGTTGGGGGCGGGGAGCATGGGTAAAGTGAAGCTCGCACACCACAACATCACCGGCGAGAAGGTGAGTACCCCGTTTTTGTGTCCGCCCGCCTGCCCCGGAGTGTAATGGCGGATGCGTTCGGCCCAGCTCGCGGTCAAAATCCTGCCTCGGGTGCCCACCAGCGGCTCAGGGACGGCACCGACGTCGGACGCGGCGGCGAAGCAGGCGTCCAAAGACGCCTCGAAGGAGATAAGGACGCTCCGGGAGGCGGCGCTGTCGATGCTCCTCCACCATCCGTACATCTGCGGTATGCGGGAGATGATTGTTCACCAGCACCATTACTACATGGTGTTCGAGTACGTGAGCGGGGGGCAGATGCTGGACTACATCATCAGCCACGGCCGGTTGCGGGAGCGTGTGGCCCGCAAGTTCGCGAGGCAGATCGGCAGCGCCCTCGACTACTGCCACAAGAACAACGTCGTGCATCGAGGTGGGCTGAACGACTCGGTGGGGCGGGGATGACGTCTCATGGTGAACCTGCTCGTTTTCAGACCTCAAGATCGAGAACATCCTCATATCGCACTCGGGTAACATCAAGATCATTGATTTTGGGCTTTCGAATCTGTATGACCCTGTCGGTCGTCTCGGGACGTTCTGCGGGTCCCTGTACTTCGCGGCGCCGGAGCTTCTGAACGCGAAGGCGTACACAGGCCCGGAGGTCGACGTGTGGAGCTTCGGCGTCGTGCTGTACGTGTTGGTGTGTGGGAAGGTGCCTTTCGACGACCAAAGCATGCCGGCGCTGCACGCGAAGATCAAGCGTGGATTGGTGGAATACCCGGTGTGGCTGAGCGCAGGTGTGTGGTTACGAGCTGCGATCCGATTCGTGCGTCCGCTGACGAAGTTGCAGAATGCAAACATTTGCTCACGCGGATGCTGGTGACTACGCCGAGCGCTCGTGCGCCGCTGTCTGAGGTGCTGAACCACCCGTGGATGACGCGTGGATACCGCGGCGCGCCCGATTCGCACCTGGTTCATCGTGAGCCACTGCGTGCCGATGAGCTCGACCGAAACGTCATCAAGGGCATGAAGGGCTTCGAGTTCGGGACCGAGGACGACATTGAGCAGAAGCTGATCGAAGTGCTGGAATCGGATTCATATTACCGTGCGGTGCAGTATTGGGAGCGGAAACGAATGGCGAATGGGCATAATGGCCACGGACGTTGGGGCGAGTCCTTCTCCAACTCTTCGCTCGCGATATCCAACGACGGTAGTTACTCGACAACAGCGACCAAGGTTGACCAATCGCCGTCGAAGAAGTCGAAGCGCTTCTCTGGGTTTGACTTCTACCGTCGCAAGCTGTTCTCACCCTCGTCGTCGCCACCCAGCACGCCGATCGCCCAATCTCCGCCTGGTTCGACGTCGCATATGTCGAACACCTCGCTGCTTGATTCTGCGCGCGAGCCGCCTGATCCGACATATGGCTTCCATCCACTAATTTCTATCTATTTCTTGGTCCGCGAGAAGATGGAGCGCGAGAAGGTCTACGGCCCGGGTCATTTCGCTAGCTCTCAGCTTTCCTTGGAGGCGAGCTCTCGGCCAGACGCTACGGCCGTTGATGCACCCGCGCCTCCCCCAACCTCGGCAAAAATGCTCTCCCAGCCCTCTGTTCGCAAACGCGACCCACCCTTAACAGGAAAGCCAGACTACAGTATGCCACTTCCCCGTCTCCCCGCGCCCGAGACGTCGCACTACTCGGGCCTGTCATACGACGTCACCCCGGCAACGCCCTCCCCCACTACGTCCACCTTCCCGCAACCTCGCGCGCGCGATGCAGCGTTTGCGTCACCGAAGCCCTCCCCCCAGAGCCCTCTACCTAAGAATGTCGCGGCGTCCCCCGCCCGTCTGTCTATGTCTATGTCTATGCCCCGCGAGCCTGCGAATACCGCACATCGCCGAAGCCACAGCCTAAGCCAGCGCCCGAGCGTGCGCGGGTGGCACGGCATGTTTGGGCTGGGCGGAACAGAGGAGGCCAGCGAGGATGGGACGATTCGCCGCAGGGACTTCGCGGAGTCCCCACGCACGGCTGGTCCCGAGTTCACCAGCTTCGCGGATAGGATGGGACAACCGCCAAGGGAGCCCGCGGGTCCTGAAAGAGAGAGCGAGGAGGAGCCGCGCACGCCACTCGTGTTGTCGGCGGGCGCAACGCTCGTGCGTAAGTTCGGCAGCATCCTTGGTGGCGGCCGGAACGACGACTCCAGACGATCAGGTACGCCGACGAAGCGTGGCAGCATCCTCACCAGCTTCTCTCCCCGACCGTCTACGGATGGCGAGGTGCTGGAAAAGGAGAAAGAGCCGCAGGCGCAGAAGAATGGGGTCACCTTCAGCGCCGCGGACGAGAAGGTGGCTCAGCAGCAGCGCCAATCCGACGCAGGAGGTCCGATCACTCAGAGCCAGAGCCAACCTGTGGGTTCGATCCATCGTCGTGCAGCGACTATCCTAGACCCTCAGGGGCGCTCGACTCGCCATGAGCGTAGGAGCAGCACGGGAGCAGCGTTGCTAACTGGTGTTGGCGGCACGATTGGCCGGCATAGGAGACCGTCGACTGGTAACTCGTACACATACTCCAAGCCGCTTGGTGAGAGGTTGTTCGGGCGCACAGACGAGGAGGATGAGCAGCAGACTGCCGAGAACGGGGATAACGGAGATACCGGAGAGCCTCCCGGTCTGCATGGCGAGGACGACGTAGCTCAAGGCGAGGAGGGCCAAACAGAGGACAGAGAGTTCAAGCCCGTGTACCTCAAGGGACTATTCAGGTATGTCGTTTCGCTGAGGATGATTTCTATTCGCTTTCTCACCCCTGCCAACAGCGTCGCGACCACATCAACGAAACCGCCTAATGTCATCAAAGCTGACGTCAAGCGAGTACTGGACCGCATGCAAGTGCAATACCGCGAGACGAAGACGGGCTTCGAGTGCATTCACATGCCATCGATCGATGTCTCTTCCCTGCTTCCCGCTCCCTCTGCACATGGGAAGCGGCCCTCAAGCAGCTCTCACGAAGACCGCCACCGCACTCTCACCAAGAAGGCGTCGAAACGGTCGTTTGGTATGATGAGCAAAGATAGGGAGCGCGAGCCGAAGGACAAGGAATTGCCTAGTCGTCCTTCTGGCGCGACGACTCTCAGCACCACTGCCAGCAGTGCGTCCTCGTCGTTCTTCCATGTGTCTTCCAATGCACACACTACCACTGTCGAAGCTGCCCGCTCGAGCACGTTGGAAAACCTCGCGGCACCGGAGGAATCGACGCGTCCACAGTCGCCTGCAAAGGGCAAGAACTTGCCGCCTATACCCCATGACCACGCTCCGGCAAGCCCTCAGCCCCCACCAGCGTCCCCCTTGCCCACTGGCCCGGTGGATCCAAACCTGTTTGAGATCATTGGTGCCAGCTCCCTTGCTGTGCGATTTGAAGTAAATGTTGTGAAGGTGCGTCGTGTCTCGGGGCCCATTCACGCCACCCTAACTGACTCCTTTCGCCTCGCAGGTTCCTTGGCTACCCCTCCACGGCATCCAATTCCGCAGGCTGGGCGGCGATGGTTGGCAATATCATATGCTGGCACGCCGCGTGTTGACGGAGCTCAAGTTATGACCCCTGCTTTCTCGCGGATAGCTCGTCAGTTCTGTTTTTGTTTCGTGTGCATTCGGTTTCAGCTTGGGCTTCGGTCTCCGGCTTCTATCTCGCCTTCAACTAATCGCACCCCCGTACATATCACCGTATCGCCGTATACTCGGATATTTTGCGCTTTGAGCTGTGCCATGCGTTCTTCACTCCTCTTCGTGCTCCTGGTGCGGTCGTTTTGTTTCTACCTTGGGCTAGAACCAACACATATCCTTCTTTATGACGACTCGGAAATGCGCGCGCCTTCCTGCGTATCATGCTGTTATGCCACTACCTACCTACCTACCTACCTACATACATACATACATACCTACCCACCTCTTTACGATCAACGACTTCCTACCACTTGTATGAATGCTATACCTACCCAGGAACATCCATGTCTTCTGTTCGCCCTTCCGATGACGTCCGCCGTCTGTTGTGCAGGCACCTCTTATCGGCATCTCCATGGGCCGAGTTGGAGAAAACTCATCCCGAGTAAAATATTCAGAATATGGGTTTGATTGTGATTAGTTGAGGCAGTGCACGCTACGAGTCGTAGCGGAGTTGATGACGGCGGCGAAACAAGCCATATTGAGTAACTCTAGCACGGGCAGCTATGTAGTTGTGCGCGTTGTTCCTTGCTCCTTGACGACGTCCGCATCGAGGCTATATCCAGGCTGGCACGTAAGCTGATATGTATGATAAGTTCATTTGGCTGCAATTTCCCTGATTAAGCTACACCAGATGTTATATAGAATTACGCATCCTGATCGAGTATCTTGAGTTTGAATATGAGTACTGTATCACTACTTAGAACCTGATGAATCGCCCAGTGGAGGCATATGTTCTGCATGGTGGCGTTGTTCCATGCTGGCAACGACCGGTAGTAGCTGTGTTTGTGGTCGTGTTCCATGAAAGGGATATTCCGGTCGGCTTTTCGCCAGTGTCCGATCGCGAGACGTAGGGCTGTCTTACGATGCACTATGCGCACGAGCAAATACTTCAACAGATACCCCGAATCGGATGTTGTCAACGAGTTCGAAATTGACGTACGGCACTTGAGGAGGTCAGAGTCACGGCAGGTTTAAGTTCCAACGCATACGTCAGGGTGCGGCATGAACAGGCACAGAAATGCGGATAACGCTATACACCGTCCGAAAGGCTGTTGGTCTCCACGCGCTCGCGCGCAACCCACATGTCTGTGCCAAAGGAACGCGTACATGATAGTCTTGGGAAACCAGGGTATAAGAAAAAATGCTCGTAGGGCACGAGCAGCTTGAATTCACCTCGTAGATCACCGCATCCACATATAATTGCCAGTCATGTCTTCTTTCCGAGTTTGGTTCAGTGCGTATCTCCCGACTCGGACACATCGAGTACCATGATTATACTGAGTAGCTATCCCAGTCACCGGCACGTCCACGAGCTTCGGCCTTGCGATGGCTCGGAATGCCCTCGCCAACGGCGACCGGGTCGTTGCCACACTCCGGAAGCCTGAAGTGCTGGAGGATTTCGCGTCTCAGTACCCTCCTGCTCAGCTACTTGTACTCCGACTGGACGTCACAACACCCCGAGGGATCAAGGATGCGTTTGCCCAAGCTAAGGAAGTTTTCGGTCGCGTCCATATCGTCTTCAACAATGCCTGTTACGCTGGTCTTCGGAGAAGCTGAGGCGACCCCCGACGAAGCCGCAAGGAACGTATTCGAGGTGGACTTCTGGGGTGCCGTGCATGTGTCGCAGGAGGCGGTCAGGTTCTTCCGCGACGAGAACAGCCCGCAGGGTGGGCGCCTCATCCAGAATAGTGCTGCTGTTGGTCTGGTCACTCGTGAGGGGCTGGCATTCTATGGCGCTGCGAAGCATGGTGAGCCTCGCTCGTTGAGTGTCAATTACAAGGATGCTAGGGCATTGATAGACGAGGTGGAATTCAGCACTCGAAGCCTTCACTGAGACGCTAAGCAAGGAGGTGAACTCGGCATGGAACATCAAGGTGATAGCAGCCACGTCAAGCACTCACATACGTATAGTCTGACTTGTGGACCCACCCCTAGATCACCTCGGTTCTTCCTGGAGGCTTCGTTACCGACATAACGACTTCGGGCCAACTTATCCCGCAGCACCCTGCCTATGCTGACGACTCCAACGCAGTCGCTCTGGTGCGCAAGATGTTCATCGAAAATGCGAGCATGGAGGCGATGAACAGGCTGGGCTGTGGGGATCCAGCGAAGGGTGTCCAGAAAATCTACAAATTGAGCAAGTTGCCTAACCCGCCGTTGAGGGTGCTGTTGGGAAGAGATTCAAACTATATGGTCAAGGAGTGGCATACACAGCTGGGACGGGAGACAGAGGAGTACGCGCACTGGTCTGATAGTCTTGGTTTTGAAGTCGATAAGTGAGGCGTTGAGGCGACCGAGCAGTCGCGTACATGGAAGCTACGATGACACACGTACCCTCCGTGCCGTGCTATGCCGTCACTAATGAGATCAACATTCCCCGTGGTCTAGAAGCCAATGCTCCTTGGATACCTCGACACTTCAACAGGGTTTAGCTTCGAAATGGCCCGTTACATTCTCAGAAAAAGCCAGCGTCTTCTCACCAGTGAAGCCACTATGTCCACGATACCGTTAAAGTGAGCTTCGACTTATTGTGCTTCGGTGAACATGGTCAGCTGAGAAAGTAATGATACGGATGAACAGGTCTTACCTAGTAGTACTGTATCACACGGGTGTCTATCTGCGGCTGCCGAAAGTTCAATAAGCTTCTCAGAGCTGTATAACGGGTGCAAGGCCAACGCGTGAATCAGTAAAGTAGCGATCAATATGGAATCGAAGCAGGAGCATCCCTGTGACCAGCCACACACCACTTCGTGGTCGTGGACAGTAATGTACTGGTTAACCGCAATTTTTCACGAAGTGCTTGATTGAGATACCATGTCTTGAATTCATGGTCCTCACGAAGTATCTTCGTTCGATCGAAGCTAGGCACGAAAATGATTCGGGGGTTTCACCTAGTCCAGAGCGCTCTGTGAGGTATACTGAGTATCAGCTTGTAAGATCTTTGCCGTGGCACGCTTAACTGCTTACGGAGGTCGAGTGGATCGAGAAGTCTGGAGGGGGTTCGGAGGCAGCTCTTTTCGCGGTATTGTCAGTAGGCCGGGCGTCCGACCGTGCTTATTCTGGCTAAGGCCGACAAAATCCGATGCGCTATCCCCATCGGCCAGCGTCGGCTTCGAGATGAACGAGCGCTTCACGATCGCATTGAGCACCGACTGAACTTTTGAAGAGATCCCGAATGGCTTCGTGGCTCCCTAGTTGAACGGTAGTCCACATACGCTGCCGAATGGACGCGTGTCCTGCATCTATGAAAGCGCCTACATGGAGGGGACAATGCATATAAGAAGGCCATGATTTGACCAGGACGCACAACAATTCGTAACCAGACATCTGATCCTGCGTATTCGTCCTGCCATGTCTTCGTCTCGCGTTTGGTTGAGTGCGTAATCAGTTCGGAGGTCCGCGGCAAGCAGACATACTGACGTTGTGTTCCCAGTCACCGGCACATCGTCTGGCTTTGGCCTCGAGATGGCCCGCTACGCCCTCTCGAAGGGCGAGCGCGTCGTTGCCACCCTCCGAAGGCCCGAGGTTCTCAAGGAATTCGCGTCGCAGTATTCTTCCACCCAGTTGCTCGTCCTCAAGCTCGACGTCACCAAGCCAGAGGAAATCAAGGATGCGTTCGCCAAAGCGAAGGAGACTTTCGGCCGCGTCGACGTCGTATTCAACAATGCAGGCCATACGGTAAACGGGGAAGCGGAGGCGATTCCTGACGAGCCTGCGCGGAACCTGTTGGAGGTGGACTTCTGGGGCGCCGTGCATGTCTCGCAGGAAGCGATAAGATTCTTCCGCGAGGAGAATAGCCCGCAGGGTGGCCGCCTTATCCAGAACAGCGCTCTGATTGGGCTGGTAACCTTCCCAACGGCGGCATTCTACGCCGCTGCGAAGCACGGTGAGCATAGCTATGATCGATGATCGTCGTAGGAAGTGTGAGTCTTACCATGGCTCGCTTCAGCTCTGGAAGCGTTCACCGAAACGCTGGGCAAGGAGGTGAACCCTACGTGGAATATCAAGGTCAGCTTCGGCTACGCGCCTGACCAAAAGGATGAATCGCGACTCACAAATCCTATCCCAGATCTCCTCCGTACTGGCTGGAAGCTTCGCTACCGACATCGGGAAATCGCTCCAGATGATGCCTCAGCACCCTGCGTACGCCGACGAGTCGAATGCGACGACCATGGCACGCAAGATGCTGAACCAGATGTTGAGCATGGGCACAGACAAGGAAGCGGCCAAGATGCTGGGCTTGGGCGATCCTGCGAAGGGGGTTGAGAAGATCTACGAGTTGAGCAGGCTGCCGAACCCGCCACTCCGCCTGCTGCTCGGGAAGGACGCGAACCACATGTTCAGGGAGTGGCTTGCGCAGGTGACCAAGGAGATAGACGAGTATGCGTCGTGGTCGGATGATGTCGCATTCAAGGAGGAATGAAAGGAGCCAGACGTAGCCGTTCCCTTCCAAATAACCAGTAGCGACAGTTCTGGGACCTGCCTCTGTATATGAAAGCTAACATGGCAATTTGTTATCTCGAGAACCGCATGGCAGTGGAACTGGTGTCTCGCTCGGCCTTAGAGAAGCCGGCAGAAGACGAGAAATTGACATGGTTTTAGGGCCTCCGAGGGCACGTGCTACGGCTAGACAGGAGACGGGGGGACGGAGCTCAACGTCCAGATCGAGGATGTCGATGGATTCTTACTTTAAGATGACCTGCAACACCATGTAATCGATACCCATCTAGTCATGAACGATATCGACATACTCGAGGGTACGGGCCTGGCACTACTTGGGCGAGTTTTCCCGTAAGAGCGAAGGTCGTCATATTGTGAGTCTTCGCGAGCGTTCATCCACGCTTACACCGACCTCATTCCGGACCTTACAACATAAAGCGAGGACAGCGATGATCAGACAATGAACGCTAAGCAGATAATATGGTAGAGGATACAAGATTGTACAGTACAAACAACAGAAACCTACTGCCCCGCCTGCTCTGCGTAGACCTGGTGGTGATCAGATATGAGTACCGTTCCACAGAGCCAGACATTCGTTCACGACGCACCTTGATGGTCTTGTCCGCACCACCAGTGATCAGCCTCGTCCCTGTGACGTCGAACGTCGAACAGAACACACCCGCCTCCGCCTCCAACGAACCCGGTTGCGGGATATCGTCCATGTTCTGGAACGCCGTGCCCGTGTTCCAGTCCCACAATGTTAGTGTACCGTTGTCCCCACCCGAAAAGAACACACCCTCCGAGTTCACGGAGAGGGTATTGATGATCGCGTTGTGCCCGCTAAAGTTGAAAACGAACGTGCCATCAGGGCATTTCCACTTCTTGATATTGTTCCCGCCTGCGGACGCTGACGCGAAGCTGTACTCTGTCGGGTGGATGGCAAGTGCGCGAACAGACTTTTTATGGTGGGTGAGTGTCACCATGGTCTTTCCCGCAGCGAGATCCCACAACCTGCACGTGAACGGAAACCAGCTCAGCTAACGCATAAAAGCCCGGTCAAGCTGTACGCACCGAACGGTCGAGTCCATACTGCCGGTGATGACCTGGGGATCCGACTCTTGGCACTTGACGTCCGCGACGGTTGCCGTATGACCGGATAGTACGTGAATCTGCGCCTTCGTCCGCATGTCCCATACACGTGCTGACGCATCACGACCAGATGTAACTAAAACGTCCAGTGTTGGGTGCAGACTGAGCGCATATACTCCCGACAGGTGACCGTGGTAGTGTCGGATGACCTTGTTAGCTTCAAGGTCCCAACACTTGACCATCTGCACGCAAACATTCAACACAGGAGGCATGCACCGAACATACAGACTGAACGCACCTTGTCCTCTCCGCAAGAGAAGAGGTACGGGTGTCTTGATGACACCGCCAGACCACGGACTGTCGATATGTGGCCCGTTAATGAGAGCTTCAGCTCACCCGACGCAAGATCCCAAATTTTGATGACGCGGTCTCCAGCTCCAGTCGCAAACCACTTGTTTCCTGGCTCTACCGCGACACTGCGTACCCAGCCAAGGTGTCCTGAGATGACGCGCACGAGCTTCCATGGTGGGTGGTATGTAGGTTTGATTGTCCGCGTTGTTTTATGTAGCTGGAGTGCGCGGGTGAGGTTGGTGTTGGAGGAGAAGGTGGAGAGTTGGGGCGCGGGGGTATTATCTATTTGGGCAATCATGCGACCAGTGTCCGTGCTCGCTATACGATATTTGTTAGTACATCGCCGCGCTGAAGTTGCAAAGAGCGTGCTTACGTCCTGCGGTGATCATTTTCCTCTGTTCCTTAGGCTTTGCTGGGCCGACTGGACCTTGTTGCGCGAGCAAAGGTGCGGGAAGTTGCTTGTACTCCTTGTACTCGTCGTTTATTTTCACGGAAAGCCGTATCCTCGCGCTGTATGCGCTATATTTATGCGCTCTTCTCGTCAATAACAAAGTGTATGCACGCACCTTTTCTCCTCATCCTTGTACGTCTCGTCCAGACCGGAGGCGAAGATGTCTCGTGTCCGCTTTCCACATGCTTGAAGAAGGGGATTCAAAGGTGGCAGTGATGAAGTCATAGTAGGTCAGTAAGCGGAAAGACTGGCGGTACCAGCAAAAGCGCGACAAAGCAAGTAGTAAAGGGAGGACGAAGACCAGTAACCAACGCGGCGGTGGCGGCAATGAGCTCGACACGCCAAACGGTGAGCGCGCTGTTTGCTCTTATTTGTTCATCGCTTTGTCAGCAAGGTCCTGATGCGCGCGACCACGATGTCTGCGCTCTTTTGGACTGAGCCACGCTGTATGCGACGGTGTCGACGACCAGAGTGCCGTTTCTGTCGCCATTAAGAGATATAAGGGATCCAACCGTGTACAGTAGGGCGCAGACAACATGTCTGCTGCTGTAGAACTCAAGCCGCTTGTCAAGGCCCTGAACAGCGCTTCTACCGATGAGGTGTGTCCTATTGATCCTCCTATGACGTCCCCGTTCACTTGCGTTTTTCACCGTCGTGAACGCTACTGACGCCGATTGCACCCGGGAATATGTGTAGGAGACTGTCACCATCTTAAACACCCTCAAGCAGCAGGCGAAGATCACCGAAGCTGTCCTCAGGGTATGTGGCGTCGTTGTTGGCAACTAGCCCCAGTTGACGTAAAGGTCTCTTCCAGGAAAGCAAAGCCGGTTTGGCAGTCGGAAAGCTGCGTCAGCATTCCTCCAAGCAGGTTTCCGAGCTCGCGAAGGAGATTGTCAAGAAATGGAAAACGGAGGTTGAGCGGGAAAAGCAAGCGTCGGGAGGCAAGAGCGGAGCCAAACCTCCAGGTGCGTCCTCTCTTATCACGCGTTCACCCACATCCTCAGCTCGTCGTGTTCTAGCTGCGAAGAAAGCTGCGAGTTCGTCAGCAGCAGCCACCCCTTCCACTCCTGTTACACCCACGGCGTCCAATGCTGGTGGGAAGTTCAGCGACACCCGTTCCGCAAAGAGTGATGGCGTGAAGGTGGAGTTCACCGGCGACAAGACACGAGACAAATGTGCAGAACTCATCTACGACGCTCTTGTCTTTGATTCCGGAGCACGTAAGCAATCGCACTGCATTCGTGCTGGCGTCCTAGCATACTCACGCGATGTACTAGCGAGCGAGCTTATCTTGAGCCGCGCTAAGGACATTGAAAAGACTGTCCTCGCGGACAACGGGGGCGCGAACGCCAACTACAAGGCCAAGATTCGCTCGCTCTTCGTGAACCTAAAAGACAAGAACAACCCCGGGTTGCGAGAGTGTGTCATCTCTGGAGAGCTTCCTGTCTCCAAGCTGTGCAAGATGTCTAGTGCGGTGAGTTCATCCTTCTCTTCACTCCTAGCTTCAACGGTAGATCGGCCCACCTGCATATTTCGGAACGCAAGGTGTAGGTCTAATGTCAGCGGCTTTGATGCCGAACATTGCGTTTACGCGAGGCATGGCGACAGCACAAATATTGGCGTTCTCCCGCTGTAGTATTCTCTAGAAGCATTGCGCGCAGATTCTCATTTGAACAATTATTGTCCGACTCCCGTATTGATCACCACCTACCAGGATATGGCCTCAGAGGAGCGGAAAGCCGCGGACGCCAAGATCAAAGAGGAAAACCTGTTCAAGACGTTGGGCGCAGGAGAGCAGGAGGCCGAAACTGACGCTTTCCAATGCCCTCGCTGCAAACAGGTGCGCCTTTCCCCCTACTCGTTCCTACAATGAACCGCATGTTGAGCGCCTTCGTAGCGGAAGTGCCGTTACCGTCAACAACAGACCCGGAGTGCTGATGAGCCGATGACGGTACGTCCATCATGCTGCAATTCTAAGCATCATCGTCTAACTTCGTTTCGCTTCCAGACCTTTGTAACGTCAGTAACTCGAGCTTTCCTGTCACTCGTACTTCATCTTGATGACTTTCCTCCCATAGCTGTACCGTATGTAAAAATAGGTTGGCTCTTCTGATGCTCATAATCGCCTGCGATCATACTTACACCTGCATCCATAGATGGAAGTTCTCCTAATGCGCCCGCATATATTCACGAAGAACATATGATGTCCATAACGGCACCGCTGGCCCACCTCGCCCCCGCGGTTACTACCTACCTTAGTATCACTTTCCCTTCAAGTTACTAGTTCTCTGTTGCGTATTCTAGACCATGGCCTTTCGGCTTGCTATATCGCACCTACTTGCCGTCTCCTGTCCATCATACTCATGATCTCGTCTGCATCCATTCTTTACTCCGTCAGCTGTCAGTTCGTGTAATTATTCCGTGCCTATGTACCCTCGAACCAAGTCTCTGTATGCGGCAAGTGCTGAACGAATACTCGGTGAGACATGCGGGCGCCTACATTTCTGGTCTTGTCCTTCTGCCACCACTTCCTCCACATGGCACAGGATCCTCTCTCTGCGGAAACACCGACGCCTTCAGCGGAACGGTTCGACGTATGGGGATTGTAAGCAGTATGTGGATACCTCGCTCTTTCCCTATGAGCTGCTGACTGCGTGGACATCTCCGATATAGTCGAGTACGTGCCCACGCGGAGATTGATTTTGCACCAATGAACACTCCCATTGCGTACCGGATAGCCTCGTGTATGCATTCTGGGGTAGGTGTCTTGACAGCCGCCAGACTGTCCATTTGGGCCGAAAACCCGGATGCGCCTACGACGCCCAACCAAGTACGTGTCCTCTCGTGACCACACTTGGGAATGAAACGCTTGCAATGCTCTGGGACACGGTGATTCAGGACCGGGCCTGGACTAGTGTCGAAATTCTGCATGGATCACTGTACAGCTAACATGGGGGCAAACAGACCGGTCGTCGTCTCCATGTTCATTCGCTGCGAATCATAACATAAAGGCTTCCGGCACTGGCAGCTGTACGACGACCACACATGAGACTAGTATTTGGAGCGCACTTCTCAACGGCGCAGTAGGTCAACTAATCCCACATTGCCTGGGCAATTCAAGTGAGTGTTGCGCTGATGAGCAGTCCCCAAGCAGAGCTTGAAATCACCAATTGATAGGCCCGTAAGCTATTCAAGCCGATGGTAGGCCGAGTAAGAAGCTGACCCAGCTCGTCGTCCCGTGTTCATCGGGCATGTCTCCTTCGCATTCCCCGGAGGTCTGCTCACGTGCTCGAGCAGCCAAATTTGGCCGGCGCTCGCCCTTGAAGCTTGAAGGTTGTCAATCGTGAGACAACCCGATCATCGACCGTCATGCAGACATTGGTGCCCGCCACCATGGGTCTGTCGTTGTCATTTAGGTCAGCTTCGAGCTCTTGCATGGGACATAGCGCGCAACGCACCTGAAAGCTGAAACACCAGCATCGGCAGAGACGAGACGCTAATGTGTTGCTGTTGGTGAGATTATCACGCGAGCACCGACCCTTTCCGACTGTGCACTGACGAAGAAGCCTGTGGACAAGTCTTGGACGGTAACCGATGTTCCTGGTAGGAGGCTCCACCACTACGTTTCTCCGTCATTCCTCGACCTCCGCATCCGGGCCAATGGTCATGTCGCTTACTTTCTAGCTCCATCTGTGCCCCGGGGCTGGATGGACGGCTAGACGAAGGGCGGACCTGGTCTCGCTGTGCCTCAGGATGTAGGCGTTGCTTACGTGGATCGTGGCTATATTGGCTGACGGAATGGTTCCCATCGCCATTGCGTCGTCCTTCTTATGTGTCACCGCATCTTGGGTACATTTCCTGCTGTTGCTCATAAAATCGACATCCAGGACGTCATCGAGTGATTCCATGCGAAAGCTGTAGCATGAGGGCCCATAACTGCTCTTCAATACATCTGGGGCATAGTAGCTCCACTGTGTAGCATTATACTAACCGAGCACAGGTAGCCGAATGACAGGAGTGCACCTGATAGAGTTGCTAGCCGCTCACATATAGACCTGGATATCCACACTCTGCTTTGATAGCAAACCCCAAGTGTCCGTGAATACATAGAAGCGAGAAGACGTAGCAAACGGATGACCAGCGTAGTACGACTCTACCGAAAATCTCTCCGTGCATCTGTACAGTGAGTCCGTGCAAACCTGTTGTGACCGCTCGGAACCTTGAGATCTGACGAACTGGGTAGCATCCGAGTGCAGGGAAGTACTCAAGCTGCCACGCCGCGCAAGTTCCTTCATAGCAAGGTCACGCTTCAATAAGAGCGCTTATCCTCCTCAAGCTGCCAACGTTGGTCTTCTCCGTCTCGGTTCTCCCACAGCATTGCAGGGGCGCCCTGCTGCGGAGTACCCTTATCACCCAATTGCAGAGCCAGGCGGGCGGTTGGGACAACGACTCTGCTCCTCGGTTAGCCTCCATGACTTCACTGGGCCGCGACCTGCAGACAAGCTCACCGAAGCGCCGCAGGGTCCTCCCGGTCAGGACGGACGTCCCATTCTGTCTCCGTCCGAGTAGCAGCAACGCGTGCAGCACTCCGCGGCACCCCGTCGATACCAAGGTAGAGCCCCGTGGCAACGTTGCGGAACGTCCACCGCGTTGCGCCAGTCTCGGGTACCGACCTAGCGCGCTCCGCCACCCACTATGGCAAAGATGAGGTTTGAGCACTTCCGGTACCAGTATAGTTTGGTTGCGGTCATACCTTTTGATTGTCGCTGTCGGCCCAAGTTCCCGCGGCGACTGACTTGAAGTCAGCCATGGAGAGGTCAAGGACAGCGCGGCTCTTGGCGTGGATGAACCTGTAGGTGTGGCTGGGCTTGATCTGGACAGTCATGGTGGCGTACGGGTTGGCACTGATAGAGCACTGCGAGTAGATGGAGATGCGAGTCGAAGGACCGCGTACTTGTAGCCACTACTGGATGCTGAGGATGCACAATCCAGACTCTGGAAGGCCCCTCTTATAGGACGTAGGTATAGAGTGCTGGCATCCCATGGGCTCATAGCGAGCGCCGAAACGGGGTGTCGTTTACCTCAAAAGGGCCACCCACGTATGTGCGATCGAGGGACCATACGTACGTATAGCGGAGTGCTCAGGCCTAGGCCTTCGTGATGCAGGTATGCGTTTCGCTGGAGGTTGTTCATGCTACATTTGGGGTAAGAATCGTGAAGGAGCGCAAATTATGGTAATGCATGTCGTGCTCTTGCTACCCGTCACTGTCGCTGCGCATAAGTAACCAACCATCTCATGCGGACACTGCATTCCAACCGCCCCCGCAAAGAGGTGCGTAGTTCCCTCATCCGGCTCACGTACCGGGTTTGAATGTGGCGCCCAGAACGAGGCGACGACGATCCAGACTGAAGAGATTGCAGGACAGTTTAGCTGCACATATCGAGATCCAAGGAGGATGTCTGGGTGACGGGTGGACCGCATGCATGCGTCGCGGTACGCTTTTGCGACAGACTACGCCGGATGATCAAAGCGCTTGCAGCCACGCCCGATGCCCGGGCTCGGAATCTCAAGAGGCGACCTCGAACATCGCTGATAGGAGGTCCCCACAGGTACAACGGAGCCCGTGAGTGGGTACGCAGGATTGGCACGTTGCATCTTTTCTGCACCCGCAGAGCTCCAGTCTCAGGAGCTTTACAGCACCAAGCGCGTGGCTCTCGAGAGCGGAGCGCGCGTTCCCGATTGGATGGAAGTTTCGTACAGGTTAGCGGGGCGCCGTCTTGGCTATATACACTCTAGTCGCGGAGTCTGGTCAAATGCTAGATCACGTTCATGAGCATCGTGGTCGGCCAGCGGGCTTTCGTGCATCATCGTCCTGGCTTGTTGGGACCACCGCGAGGACACCACGCGTCATGAGCCTTATCAGGCTGACATTTCCGTTTATCAGGTTCGCAATAGGAAATCCGATATCTTCCTCGAACTTGCCCGTGCACCTTCGCCACTGTTCTTCGCTGAGATCCCACACCGTGCGTTCGTACAGCGTCAAGAGGTCAGGGTGTCATCGCTGGTTGGAAGGTAGCGCTTGGATGCTCAGTCTTCCCGGTCTTCTCGTACTGAAACTTTGGTGCCCTGTGGCTTACATCTGTGAGGGCCTGTTCGGCAAAGAGTTGGAGTTAGAGTTACCGGCATTTCATGCCCAAATATAGTAATAATATCTCGGTTTTCAATCTCGAGAAAACTCGAGTTACTCGGGCGAGTGCATGCGTTCGGATGCCTCCCAGTAACTCCGGGCGGTTGTTATCAGCTCAGGTCATAACTTATCTCGAGGCTCTACCCTTTTGGCAGCCTGCTTGATTCTCTCTCTATAGAGTATTGGGATGGCTACCATGACCGGCGTAGATTGTGATCAGACATCCGAGACCATCCTACTTGAGGGATTAGGGCAGGCTACTACCAAGGCCCGCCCAGTCAAAACAATGACAGTTACTGCTATAATAGCCTGTCTTCGGCGCTCTATTTGAGCCTGATGGATAGCTTGGTGAATTTAGACAGCTGCTCTTGTGTGGACCATGGTGAAGCAGGGATGAA